CCTTATCGATGGCTATCACTGTCTCGACATTCTCCTACAGATAGATCCTAGCTCACCTGGAGGTGATCCAGCAGACGGCCTGGTGTTGCCACCAGGATGTTGACGCCATTGGCCAACTTTTGGGCCTCCGCTGATCGGTTGCTGCCTCCCATGATGAGGCCATAGGTGTGTACGTGGTGAGTCATCAGTTCTTTCAGCACACCATACGTCTGCATTGCCAACTCACGTGTCGGAGAAAGAATCACTACACCAGTCCCTGAGAGAAAGAGGAAACAAACACACAAAATCAATTTACGGTACCGTGATTAAAACAGACAAAGTCTGATAAGTAAAACCTGCGCAAAAATCAACATCCATCCAATGTGCAATATTAAACTTTAGATAAGGTGAACAGTCATTACCATTCCTGGGCATAAACTTAAGTTTGTAGATGAGCTCTAGGGATGGGATTAGGAAGGCCAGGGTTTTACCACTCCCTGTCTTGGCAGCAGCCAGCACATCTCTGTCCATGAAAACAAAGGAACACAATCAACAAAGTCGACGTTAGTTACACGTGGTTACGTTACAAAATGGTTACATGTGAATGACCAGGAATCGGAAACCCACCTTCCCTCCAGCAGAGGACGAATGCTTTTGTGCTGGATGTCAGTCATGTGTTCAAAGCCCATCTCCTTCACTCCTTTCAGTGTGTTTTCACTCACAAGTTCCGCGAGAGAAGCAAAAGACGTGTCCTCAAATGCTCCTGAGAGAAAGACCAACACATTAGAATTGCAGCTCTATTTTAACTGCAACAACAAATGGAGAAGATCGATGCGCGTTGGCAATGAATTTCACGACTGAGTGTTTGCGTCACGTAATTATTTCATCAGTCACTCTGCGCTGTCCCTGTTGTATGCTGTTCCTACTGTGCACGCCTTGGCCACATTCGCTCTTTAGAGGGAGTGTTGAGCGCAAATATAGCGCAAAGTACAGATTAAATGTGCGCATAGGTGGAGCTTTCTTTCATTTGGTATTTTGCTTTACTTTGCGCAGGTACAACTGGGCGTAAAGCTCAAGGCAAAGGAGGCACCATTAAAGTTGTGCCATTGGCTGCAGGTACGGATGGCTGCTAAGAGCAGATGGCACTGTTTTCTGCACACTAGGTGCCGTCGATATACCTTCTTAAAGTGCGTTAGTCGCTTGTTTGGGATGATGTGACCATTCAAGATGGAGACCGCAGTAACGCCCAGTGAGGCACTGCGCGTCTACCAAGGTCACAAATACATGGAACCCGACTATTGTCCCAGCACGAAAATGACAATGCGGCCGTTTTTACAGCAAACACACAGTACTTTCTGTTACGATATCGTCGGATGAGTCGGGGGCGAGTCAACTCGGGTGCTCGAATGCCCAGAGAGGCACTCCACAGCTCCAAACACGCAAGACAAGACTTGCGCTGGCATGAAAATTAAGTTACATCCATTTCTACGATGCATGCATGGACTATTTTTGAGGCCCTGTAAGCTAGCTTCCAAACTGCACTGACTCAGTATGCTGAGGGCGGGTGACATACTTTACCATAAAATGAAATGAGTGAAGAGCTCTACAATGTTCATTGAGCAACCTGTTTGTGCAATTTTGTGCTCTCCCAATTTCAAATGTGCAGTTTTTAAATAAAGGATTGGATTTAAAAAAAAAATGTTTTCAATTAGATTGATCAATTGAAAAAAAAAACTGGACCTATTTAGTATTAAAACATTCTTGCAGTTTCAGTCCTACATTTAACGATACAATAAAACATGTACTTGCAGGCTTTATCAGGGGAATCAGGGGTGACTCCTCATCTCAAAGACAACCACAAGAATTCATGTCAGCCTTGACTGACACCCATTTCATGATGGAAACATTGAAAGGGCAACACTTTAAGGCATCAGAATTCATGTCTAAAACTATGCATGCTACATCGCTACAATATTGTCACCTTTACAAAGTTGGCAAAATCAGTATTTGCAAGTTTCAAAAATGTACACATGTAATATAAACAGCAAAGCACAATTTCACCACTTTTTCCCACAAACCAGCTGGAAAATGCTCCAAATCACAAGTGAACAGTCTGAATGAGGGTTTAAAAGTTAAATAAAATAAAATGACATATATACCTGTCAAGCCAGACGGTAGCTCAGGTAGATCCTCAACATCCCCCTCCTGCTCCTGTGGTTTGACAGGTTCCTCCTCTTCCTCCATCTCATGTTGCCCATTTACTTGGTGCATACTTTTGACCTTTTTCTCAGCTAAGGATTATAACATTCATTTCAGCAAAAACAGCAATGGTGCATTTTTAGTGCAATTGTTCCTCACAGTTTCGAGTTCTGTTACCCGGTGATTCAGCCGTGAGAGGCGCCTTTCTTTTCTTTTTCTTCTTTTGCTTTACAGAGTTTCCCTGGGCAGATGCAGGAACGTCAACTGGCTCATCTTCCTGCTTCTGCTGTTCCTGGACGAGTTTAGTCTCAGCTTCACATGCTTCTTGAGTGCATTTCTCCTCCACTCCTTCTGACCTTACTGGGGAAAACGTTGAGCCGTGATGTGAACTTCCAACAATAATGATGTACTTTATTTCAACTACATTGTTGCTGTATCTACAATACACAGTTTGAATACAATAAAAGTTACTTTTGTTAGTATTGGTTCCGTGAAATTTTAAAACCACACACAACTAGCTGTATACAAAACATCTCATTACATAAGTACACAACGACATCATAAAATTGATTACGGGCAGTACGATGGTCATTTACCACTGAAATTATGAGATGTTTACTTGTTGCAACTTATAATCACGATTAGAAATCATGCTGCGACAAGCTAACAACGCTAACGAAGCTAATAGTCACCGCCAGGAAGTGAAACATCAGATTTTGACGATCACTACTAACCAGACTCTTCGTCCAATGTGTGCTTCTTGAGTAACTTGCGCTCTTTGTTTTTTTCATTTCTTTTCTGTATTTTCTTCCGGAGAAGCTTCATCTGTAAATCGGCCATGTTGACCACATACACACACGTGTGTCAGTCAGCAGGAGAGGACCCTTGTTCACGGCGCAACCTTAGAGTTGCCTGAATGTATCAAGGACCCATTAGGTGACGTCCAGAATGCCCTATGAAAATACTAAGAACGTGATTTAAGTAAAAAAAAATTAAAAAAAAAGAAGAAAGAAAGAAAAACTACGGCCCAATGCCACACTACACCCCACGATTTAAGTGTACACATAGTTGAAGTGCATCTAGTGTTCGAGAGTGCAGGTTACAAGCGTACGAACTTTTTTTTCAGATTTTTAAAAATTAAATCCAAAATGCAGAAGATACAACAGTAGAACATTAGATGCAATTGGAGTACAGTAATCAGTACAAATACAATATATAACAAATTTCAACAATCACTCAATATAACATCAAGATGTCCAGAATATATGAATATAAAGGAGAAGAAAAGGAAAAAAATGCAAGGGCAAACATAGAAAAAGATTATGCTACAATATGTTAGCGCCATAAAAGATTATGGAAACACAAGTGCATCAAATGTACGAACTGGCAGAACTGGGACGTGCGTGTTACGTCATTTGCCATGGCGTCATACAACATGGCGTCACGGGTTGTTGTTTTTCCAATTTTGCATCTTAAAATTATATTGAAACTTCAATAAAGTAGTAAAGTTAAAACTTGGGCTCGGGCCTCCAGTGGATGGCAGCCGTGGCTCCATTATTTGCACTGCAGTACAGTATTTGCGTCCGCGGCTTGACATCTGAGTATGGCAAATACTGTATAGCAGAGATGTCAAACATCAGGCCCGCAGGATAATTTAAAAGTGAAAAAATTCACAAGAGACACGGAATGACTACTTTTAATAAGGTGCAATTCATGGAGTATACGCTAGATCTGTTTATTAAATATCAACATTTTCCTAATGTTCTTGTGCTTCTTTAGACCAAAACAAAGGAAAGACATTATTTTGGTTATTTATAGCAGAATATCCTCCTGGCTACCTGGAAAAAAAATGTTGTCCAATCACATTTATTTTGAAATTCCCCAATCTATGTGAAGTAATTGGACTCCTCCAAAAAAATTTTTGAAATCCCACTACATTTTTTAAACAGGCTCAAATACACTTAAAACAACTCAAACAACACTTTAACGTGTTCATAAGAGTCTTATAATTAAAATGCCTTCGTTCGATGCCCCCCCGCCCCCCATTCAGACACAAGTGTTTCGTAAAGCATAATGCATCAAAATATGTAACAAATACATGTTACAATTAGCTTATTGCACAATAAATGAGAGTTGTGGATGATGTAAAAAACAAAGAATAAAGAATATGATGTTGATGTTCATTTCACTTTCAACTGCGTCATCATTTTACTGGCTTGACCGCAGTAAAAAATTGCCTTCTTTAGTCTATGTTCTCTCTCAGAAGTGGTTTTTGTCTGGCGTTTTGTTAAGAACTGATCCATGATCCAAGAATGTTTGCTTTTGTCGGCTTATAACAATCCATCTTGTCCAAGGCAAAGGTTCATCCCCGGGAACTTCTGCCGGTGGGACGTGCCCGAACACCTCACTAGGGAGGCGTCCAGGAGGGGGGGCCTAATCAGATGCGCAAATCAACTCATCAAGCTCCTCTCAATGTGGAGGAGCAGCGGCTCAACTCTGAGTTCCTCCCAGATGTTTGAGCTTCTCATCCTATCTCCAAGGGAGAGAGAGCCTGGACACCCCGCAGAAGAAATTCATTTTGGCCGCTTTTATCTGGCCAGGATTTTGTTCTTTCGGTCACGACCCACAGCAAACACATCCCCTCGATCTCATACATGCCTGGATAGGAAATGCTGTACAAGTTTTACATATTGAACAGAAATGAGGAAAGAAGAGGTCAAATGCAAATATTTAAACAATAGCAAAATACATAGAAATTAGCATATCTAAAACATAGGCAGTTCATAAAGAGATTTTATAACACTGTATGTGTTCATGTTGCAATCTGTAAATTCTTCTCATTTAAAAATGTAAAATGAGGCCATATCTGTAGTGGAAAATTGATTTCTTTTCTTAATAAAACCTTGAAAAGCATCAATAACAGACATTTACTCACCAAAGCTCCAAATGGTCCAATGAGCAAACTTTATTTATCTAAAATAGGGCACAGTTTACACGTTTCATATTGTATTAAGTATCGTATCAATCGTATGAAGCATCGTGTGAGATGAGATTAAAAATAAATATCCCTGCCTGCTAACCAAAGAGGTTAACAACTTCTTTCACCAAATTTGTTTAAAAATGACTGGTGAATTTATCAAAAGGAACAGCTTCTTGATAAGAACAAAATATTTTCTTAAATAAAGGCATACTCTCAGATTGTCGATACAAAATGACAAGTGTTCTTTGGTTTATGATGATGGGATTTTTGACAGCTGCTTTTCATGTTAATAACGGTTTCAATTAGGCCTGGGCCGATATTATAGTCTGACAGTATGATAACCGTAACCAGAAATCTGGCGGTATCACTGAAATTACATTTCTAAAATGACCTTTTTTTTTTTTTTTTTAAGATATGGGTAAATTGAATATTTCTTCATAGGAATGAGTTGTATGATCAAATTAATGTTCATTTATGCTTCAGGATGTTAACCTGAACG